AAAGTGGACCAAATTGAGAGTGAAGTTAGAAATAAGTCACAAATATTGACGGCCGCCGAACTCATACAGTGCTACTGGAGGTATGTCTGTTGTTTCATTTGATTTATTGCTTCAATATTTAAGTTTTCAAATGCAAATAGTTTTCATAAGCAGTCATTTTTATAAAGTAATATATTAATTAATTTAGAAAGTTTATACACAGTAATAGTATCAAAATATTTTCTGATAATTGTAATCTTACATATTAATAAAAGCTTATGTTTAATGATTCTGTATTATTTACAGACTTTATCGCAAAGACTTGACTAACCCCAAGTCACTATCCCGTGGCTCATGGATTTTACGGGAAAACATGACTCTGATAAACAGGGATCAGAAAAATGCCGTCCGATTCATACGAACCCTAAAGTATTTGAGAGCTAAACACGCGTTCAAACAAACGTGTCATAAACTTAATAAACTACACGAATACAGTTGCTGTCATACAGAGCACCGGCAGATTAGAAACAGAATACAGTTATTGCATCTGGATATTAAGGGACTGGAGGACAGACTGGTTATACGTTGCGGACAAAGAGTGCAGAAATTGATGACAAGATTAGCTATAATTGAAGGCAGAAATAGTGAAATGTATGAATTGCTTACAAAACACACGTTATATTTGGAGAATTTGTTACAACAGAAAGGTTTAGCACAATATCCTGAACGCAGATAATAATTATTTTCAATTATGTTTCCTGTATATATATTCTGTTTATATAATATTATCCAAAATTAAATTCTTTAATGTAATTATACACCATTTATTAAAGTTATTAAACGAATTATAAACCTAATTACGATATTTTCAGTGCATTTATTATTCAAGTAAAATAATTTTTTTGTGCAATATAATGTACCAGTATAAGTTTCGCAAATCAATCACAATAATTAACTGTATTTAAAATTAAGTTTACTTATGAGTTGAATGATGTAAGAATTTTATTTAGATTTACTTTAATCCATATGAAATGGATATAACCTTTTATAACCTAATATTGTAATTAGATAAATGACATTGCAATAAATGTTAGGATTTATTATAGAAATATTTATTTAAAAATTATACAACTACAATCATTGCAAATAATTTATATTTAATAATAAGTTATAATTTCAGAAAATAATTATTTTGTGAGTTGGCAGACTATGTGTCTATTATTATGTTAATTAATAAGATATTTCACAAACCTTTGGTGAGTTAACGTAATTCGCAATGTAAATCAGTTTGCTTTACCTTTTACCTTTACCTTGATATTATATTTATAGTTATATTCTGGTACAATATATAGTACAAGTATAAATAATTAAACCTAAAATATAACATTAATGAACTATATTATAATTAACTAAGTTATATGATAAAGATGTCATACACTCAATGCACTACTAATTAATTAGTACAATAAATTACCATAATTAAAAATATGTCAAGTGATAGCTATTATAAGCAACAAATGATTATTAAATATAATTATAAATATTATAAACACATCAGTATTTGACTAGTATTACACATTGCTATTACTTTTCTGTAAAATAATATCTGTAAAATTACACAAATCTATATTATTGTAATATAACATTCATCATAAGAATTATGTCACAGAATATAATCGTATCAAAAGTATTGTCACCGGAATTGACAATAAATGGAGTCCACAGTCATCTCTACAGAATTGGTTTGTCTTTACATAAAACTGGAAATATTGTAAGAAATAAATATTTCAATCCAAAACTCATATTCACCACAATATTACTGCAATTGTTTCGGTCTATTCTGACTGTTATAATACCCCAACAAACCGACAGAATATATCTAATTTGCGGCGATTTTGGACACTTTTCCGGTGTCCGTATTCAGTGCCATATAGTTATAGCACTGATTAGTCTACAGAATATTCTGTCGCAAATCACTTATTACTATAACTACAAGTCTGGTGTAAAACCCAATGATATGCGTGTATTTCATGTGATGTCCGGTTTAATTACACCTAAAAGTATTGGTTTGAATGACAGGCAAATGGTATTTAAATTATGTAAAATCTTTAAGAAATATATTTTGTTTGCAGTTATTTATACGAAACTTTTGCCGTTTGAAAGTTTCTTGATTATATTTTTTAGTTTCTATCATAAACTACCCGTAAGTGCAATGATTTACTATATTCCCCATACGTTTATCTGGATAATTGTGGAACAATATTGCTTTCAGATAATGATCTGGCAATTTGTATACTATTATTTAATTACAGTATATTTGAGATTTAAACTAAAATCAATGAATGATGAGTTAAAATTAGTATTAAGCAAAAATTCCTATAAAATTAAAGTTGATTTAAATTCAAGACTTTTAAAACTCATTAAAAAATTTAACGCAATTTATATAGAAATCAGTGAATATAATACCATTTATTGGTCTAAATATTTATGTATCGTATGGTTTACATTGAGTGCAATCATATCCACGACAACCTATTTATTACTCCAAAGTAATAGCAATATATTCAGTAAAATCGGATATTTTATGTTTTTTTGTAGCTTTTCATCGATTCTTATATATATTATCCGTATTTCGTCTCTCATTCATATCGAGGCGAATAAATCATACAATTTATTAAACACTATATATTGTATGAAAACTACTACTGATGTCAATGTTTTGTCTAAATTTAAGGTAAATAAAGGTTTCGTTTAATAATTATAATGACAACTATTTTATTTGTTTAGTTACTATCGGTATTGAACAGAATTGGCGCCAAAAGGGTTGGTTTTTATTGTTGGAAACTATTTATTATAAACTCGTTCAGTGGTTATGAGGTAATAGTGTATTATATAAAATTAACTCACCTGACACACTTGATTTAATTCACAATTCAATAGATAATATCGTACATCGCTCTCCTTTTTTGAAAATACTGGACACATCCCTATAAATATTATTTTTAAAAATTTATTGATTATATTTGCAAGTTAATTATAAATTTAAGTTCAAAATTGTAAGAATGCAGAATTATTTTCTTATAAACAAAATAAATCTAAAGAATTAACAATGTTTTATGATTTAACATAAAAATCAACACAATTGCTTTAAAATAAGGACTTGGTACTTACTTGTTAGGCAAAAATTAGTCTACAATTCACTGTATATTTACCAGATCATTAGTTATCTGTTATCAGATCATTAACTATTACAGTAGTGATCACATGGACATCTTAAAATATTGAAGTGATTACTAATGACTGAATATTTTTCTCACTGCTAGATTTTTAATATTCAAGTTATACCTAATATTTTTGTATAATTTCCCTGGGTGAGCATATTTTAGGTGTTTATTATGCATTACAAATGATTACTGTAATATTGTTTCAATTCAATAAAGATTTTATAAATATAAATTATATTTCAGTAAATTATAATTTCAAATCAAAATTCAAAAAATACAGAATTATATATAACATTACTTATAAATTAAAATAAATCTAAAAATTAATAGTTTTATGAATTAACAAAAAAAATGAACAAATTTGTACTATAATTATATTTATAACTAGTGGCCAACCATTTAAAACTTCCCTCACATTCATTCCTATCAAACAATTTACTCTTCATTTATGAGACCCGTAGGCATCTCATCGCCAAACCCACTGTCATCTGATATATGATCATCGACTCCGTCCTCATCATCAGACAGTACTTCCACTTCTTGTTCGTCAATGTGGTCACCATTAACCGCCTGTCCATTGAACTCAAACCCATAGACTGTGTTTTGATTGACACCCGATATGATACAAATGTAACCAATTATAGTGACAGTAATGGCAATGAAAGCAAAGGCCAATCCATTCAATTCATTTGATACTAAAATCGATACGATTAGTGTTATACCGATCGGTATGACTACCGGTGCTATCGATGCGAATAGATTTGGCATAAAGTTTATCGCAAAACAATTTGTAACAGTAATTGATAGAAATGTAATGATTTTGTGGTAATTTAATGTTTAAATGTATAGCAAAATTGATTGAAAATGTATTTTAAAGAGTAATTATTTCTGTTATTAAATTGACGTTAATTTAAATACTTTAATCAAAATTGTTGATTATATTAGCGTTCATTAGGATTTTTTATAATTCGCGTGACCAATGTAATTATATATTTAAAAATCAATTCAATCTATTATGCAAAACAATGATAATTAAATTTAAAGTAATAATCACAGTATTTTTAACAAATCATTTGCAATTATGAAATATATAAAACCTTTTCTTATAGCTAAGCTAAATGATTAGATTTTTAATTTGGATTTAGCTTTTGATTATATAATTTTAATATATTACAAGTTATTAAATTATCACTTAGGATCTTAAATATGAATAAAGTGTTTGTAATAAATAAGTCTGGTATGGGTATGCAATTAATTTATGTCATAATCCAGTCAATCATAGATATAGTGGTGATTGGGGTGTCATTAGGTCTCCTAAAGGACCACGACGATGACACGGCACATATCATCTTTGGGGCAGCCCTTCGGGGGTTTCACCGGCTTTTCCTAATCTTGCGGATAGTGTTGAGATGGGGTCCCGGAGCCGGTCAGACTGCGTTCAGACCGTTTAGGTTAATGATAAAAGCGTTGTACAGTGACCGGGATCCGTTAATCATGAACTTATACATCGGTTTTATACTATACTTAGTGGCCTCATATGTGCTATATTTAGTCGAAAGTCCCTATAATAGTGCCCAGTTTACGAGTGCCGGCGCTTCTCTGTGGTGGTCGGTAGGTATCCCCACATACACTCATATACCTGTCATTTATTTAAAATATTATAATAAATAATAATTATTTATTTATATTTAATTTTAAGGCCGAAAATCTGTTAGCTATAGGAGCTGCTAATGTATATCCCGTATGTATTAAACAATATTAAGGCTTTTTAAATGAACTGTTTGAATATTTTACATATTTGTAGATAACAACCCAGGGCAAATTTGTTGCATCAATATCCTTATTTTTGGGCTATACTTTATTCATGTTACCCTCTGATATCATGGGCGCCGGACTGGCCCTTAAAGTGGACCAAATTGAGAGTGAAGTTAGAAATAAGTCACAAATATTGACGGCCGCCGAACTCATACAGTG